AAAAGATTCTTCCGTATAGAAAAAACAACGCGTGTTTGTGTGTGTGTGTGTGTGTGTATATGTATATGTATGTATACATATAATTTAAAATTATCAAAAACAAATTTGAAATATTAAGGATGGATGATGATGATAATAATTGATTGAGTGCGATTTTATTTCTTCTTCTTCTTTTTTTTTCTTCTTCTCTCTCTCTTTCACTCATATGTTTGTATAGTTTTGTATGACGCTTTCGAAAATGTGTGTGCGTGTGTGTGTATAAAACAATAGAATTTTGAATACAAGCAAACGAACAACAATAATAAAGAAAATTGACTAAAATAAATTTAAATATTTGCCTTATTCTATTTATTTTTTTACTCACGTCATGTTCTATTATTGAAGATATATATTTATATAGTGATAATGTTTTTATTGAGTGTACTTCTCAGTTATCTTTTTGGATGTATATCAATAATTGCTTTGTTAGTATATTTATATGTATATTATGGATTGGATTTACGAGAAATAATTGCTGAACGAGAACAATATCAAGATTTTTATCCATTATCTGAAGTAAGATTATATATATGTCTTTAAATTGTATTTCATAGGTATGTGTGTATTTGTTCATCTTAGAATGAACAATCGAAAAATTCTACAATTGATACTGTAAATTATATAATGCAATTTTTATTTCAAGAAATGAAAGATACATCAAGAATAAGACGTTATATAACAAATAAATTAAAAATTGAATTTAATGAATTAAAAAATACTCGAATAGGAAAATTATTTCTACAAGATATTATCGTAGGTTTTTCGTACAAATAAAAAAACTTATGTAAATATTATCTATAGATACAAAGTTTTTCTCTTGGAAAAGAATGTCCAGTACTTAGTGATATTCAATTTGAACAACAAGAACGAGATGAACGTGGTTTAATTAAAGTATAAAATAAAATTCTTCGAAAATATTATATATATATATATGCATTCTCTAGGAATTCGTAACTAAACTTCATATTGATTATAAAGATGGATTTTCTGTTATGCTTGATATTAAACTTGCATTTAATCAAACATGTCAATTATCTATAAAAATCAAACGTATTCAAGGACGTTTACGTTTAGAATTTCGACGTGAACCATTTTCACATTGGTTACTTGTTTTCCAAGATGAACCATTAATTGATTTAGACATTAAATCTTATTTATCTTCTCGTGAAAGTTCTCAACTCGCACATATTATTGATCAACGCATACGCCATACTATACGACGTAAACAAATATGGCCTAATTATAAAATTCGTTATCGACCATTTTTTCCAACTTCACAACAACCTTTATCAACAGAAGCTTCATCAGTTATTAATAGTAATCTTATACTCGGTAAATTTCATATTGAAATACAACATTGTGATCGACTTTCAATTCCATATGCAATATTTAATAAAGAAAATTCGTCATCATTATTTATTTTTTTAACAATTGGTATAAATAAACAAATGTGTAAAGATTACTTACGTCTTAATCGTGATCAGTGGATAAAACAAGAAATTGAATTTATACCGAATGTACATAAAATTCGTCTCAAAGAAGTTTTATATATGGATCATATTGAAATTTTGATCGAAGAACTTGATCCAATACCGAATGAAATCGAAGATTTAAACGCATTTAAACAAGCTTTAGAAGATAAAAATATTTTTTTACTTCAAATCCAAAATCAAGAAATTAAACAACTGGAACAAACAAATCTTTTATTGAAGCCGAAATCAACTAATAAAAATGAACGAAAAATAAAAATTCTAGTTGGTATACCTTTATTACATTATGTTCAAGTACCATATGTAAATGAAACAATAAAAACGGTAGAGAATGAAGAATTATTAACTACAGCACAACAACCAATTCAAGGTTTGATATCGAATTTTCAATCGTTTAGTTTTAATTTATTTTTTTATTAGACGTTGATCCATCAATAGAACATCAAGTACATAATAAAATTATTATATCTTAATAATCTTTATATGTATTATAGAAGAATTCTTCTGTAGATATGATAAATTTAGTAATGATGAATGCTGACATGCTACCAGAATTTCAAGCTAAAGCAACTCTTACTCGAAAACCTGCAACGGTTTGTTATTATTTTGAAAGAAACAAGAAAAATCTTATGTTTTTGTTATAGTATGTTGAATTTGAGGATAAATTCGAATTTCCAGCAAATGAAAATGATCAATATCTTAATATTTGTTTATGGTGTAAACCAACACTCGATTTTGATATGCCAAGTATGAACAAAAAACTTATACTACTCGGCTATGTAAGTTATTAGAGTTAATCGGACATATTAATTCGTTTTTTATGTCATGCTTATGTCGAAAACAAATGTTCTTTTAAGAGACTATCAAATCTCGATTATGTAGAATGTCATATTAATGTACTCAAACCTAAATATATTATTTGATTACTCATAGAGTATAATTTATCTAATCGAATTAAAATTTATCGTTGAATAAAAAAATTCTGTTTGAACACTGAAGAATATTTTCAAAATACTATAATCTAATGTTAATAAAAGTCGTAACTCAGTGGGTTACTATTAATACTTAAATAATTTTACGGATGATACATATCCGTATAGGCGTTGTGAGATGTCTTAAAGTACTGTGATTCAATGAACATGAGAAAAAAGTCATTATTGAATATTTCTCTCTCGGGGCAGTAGCGTAAGTAGGGAGAGGGGGGGGGGCGCGTGGGGCGCATAACCCCCTGCATCCGAAAACTAATAGGAAAAAAGGGTTTGCGCCCCCCTACTTCTAGAAAGTTCACTTATTTTGACTATTGAAATAGAAGAACTAGGGTTACGCACCCCCCCTGCTTTGACACCTGACTTACGCCCCTGCTCGAGGAAAAGAGCGGAATCTGGA